AAAAATTCTGAAATTTTTTATACAAGCTACTCTGATCGAGGCCTTCATTTGGGCACAGTTTCAGGTCGAAATTCAAAAATATGATTTTGCTGTAGAACTAGGGTCCAGCAGGAAAAATGCACTAAAAATTCGATATCTCTGTCAAATCTCAATATGGGCACGAATCCTTTGGAGATTTCTCTAATCTAGTGGCCCCCTACCTAATGGGCAACATATGAGCTCAAAAGCTTTTAATCACTTGGGAACGTTCCCTCGTTAGTTTGAACATTAATAGGCAACAAATAGCTTCAGTTGCTTTTTAATGCTGGCAATTAAGATCTATATGTTTGAATGACATCGACGGCTAATTTTTTTAAAATCGTTATCAATATAGAATAAGAAGCAATAGATTAACGAAAGAAAAATATAAACATGCATATCCGGCATTATAATCAGTGTTAACGTGTAAACCAACAATGTTCCAAAGACTTAATTATCATATATGCTTTTAATACAAAATCAATCGTTACTCTCCTTATGTATAGCCTCAAAATAGACCGAGATTTTCCAGAGTATTTGACATAATCAGTCTAGTACGTATCAAAAAAGGCTTTATATTTCTCATCACCACAAATAAAAAGTCCTTGCTTGTTTACTGCAGATAAATCTCGAGCAGGAAAATATGAATAGAAAATTATCATAGATATCATAATATCGTTAAATTCGGTATCGAGGGTATGATGTATGGCAGATTTGTAACCGAACTGGTTGAAATGATTAAATCGGTCGATCTTCACCGATTGCAAAATGTTTTATAGATTATGCCGTTTTTTTTTTCGATGAAACTTGTTGAGAGCAAGTTTGCTTGCTCGTATAAAAATAATCAAACAGAATTGTTTCAAGAACTATCCGTTTTATTATCTTTTACTTATCCACATTGTTTCATTTCCTCACTCGAAATACATTTCATCTTTTAAAAGATTCAATAAAAACTTATGTTAATAGAGTTAAATTTATGTCATATGTGTTTTGGTAAAGATAAAATTTAGGTTTAAATCGTTGCTTGAAGAAAAACGTTTGGTTTGTCTGAAAAAGAAGAATGAGAAAATCCAAGATCTGGAATCCAGTAATCAGTTGATAGCTAAATGACGTTTTCGTCGAGCTCTATATAGAAATTTTACCTATTCAATTTTGATGAACCTAATTGATATAAACGACTATAACATGATATTTATTCATGAAGATTTGTAAAAACCTGGGTACAAAAAGGAAAACGAATGTTTTTCAAATCATCTCTATTAACCAATTAATAACGATCCAATAAATCGGCCAGCTTGTATCAGTCTAAAAGATTTGTTGAACCAGTCAAGCCGAAGCGGTTAAACTATTCTTGACCAATTACAACTCTGGTGTGTAGATGTGACTGCGAATATCGTGTATGTATGTCTTCAGTCTACTCTTCACTCATATCCACTCTGTTTTGAATAACAAGGTGATTACAGCAAATCAACGCAAATAAATCTATTGTAATGTGTTTTTAGTCCATCTCTGATAAGTAAAGTATTATTCTTCACAATATGTTATTTTTTATAGGAATGAATAGTTCACTTAAATACCTGTATAGATATCTTGACTTTGAGATTTGGATCCCCCATGTTATTGGTATTTTGATATCACTTTTAATTTTTTTATTTTTCATCGTATTCGTCAATGAAACCTACAAAACATTTCACTGAAACCAGAATGATAAAGAAGCATCAAGTTGATTGATGGTTACTATACTCTCTGAAATATTATCGAGGTTGATGATATTCATGTGATGGGCTCATTCTTGATTGCGGATACTTTTAATTACTAATTAATGGAAACTGTCCGCAAAATAAAATGGGGGGGAGAGACGAAAATGTCCGCACATTGGAAAGTGTCCGCAAAGCGGAATCGGGAGAGAGAGGCAAAAATGACCACATTATAGAATCAAGACAAATTTTATTAACTGAGAAAAAAAATATAGAAAAATTTCATTACTGAAAGACAATGAATATCTAATTTTGTTTAGGTTCATAATCAAGATCATCCTTGTCATATGTATCGAATACATTGATATAGCGATAACAAAGTGAACGTAATCGCTTTTGATAACCTGCAAGATCTAAACGATCTGAATTTTTTAACTTGTTGGTCATATAACAATGAAACTGGTGCTGTAGGTTCCTCTTCAATTCGTCGTTTGATAGATTTCATACATTCATATACATGTAAAGACATTTTTTCTGAATGTTCATAGTCATGTCTTCCATCTGATTTCATAGATGAAGTTTTTAAAATTGAGCATTCATTAGTGGTAATTGAAGCATTACAAGATTTATGTGTACAAATCCACACCTTGTTTCCATTCTTATTTGTGCGCTTTAATCCGAAATGATAGTTCTTGAACATTATTCCATCATTACCAGATTGTGTTACAATTGGAGAAAAGCTATTATCATTCACGATCGACATTTTTTTAAAATTTATCTGACTATATCTCTATTAGTTTATATACTTTCTTCCACACTATATGCAAAAAAATGACCTGGACACCATGTGACATTCCACACTAGCTTGGAAGATGCATAATACAACCTCAACTCGAACTAATCACACTGATCATCATACTATATCTATATTCGTTCCTTTCCATAATGCGGACAGTTTTGTCTCTCTCCCACCGATTCTACTCTGCGGACACTTTCCAATGTGCGCACATTTTTGTCTCTCCCCCCCATTTTATTTTGCGGACATTATTTTTCGCCAATTACGGAAAAATGTCCGCAATCAAGAAGACGCGCATGTGATGACTACCGAAAAATTATCGTCGATTTTATGAGTACGGCGGTCCATCGGTAGGAGTGTGAACAAACATGTGACATGAACAAGGAATGTTTTTTAATATAAATTTCACTTTAACATTTCAATAACCATTTATTTTTTTTTTACACTGTACGCATTTGTTATTTGAAGACACTGATAATAAAAATTAAATTGATGAGAGAAGTATATGACTTTTGAAAAAAAAAAGTAGTTCACAAGATCAAGCTGCCTTACACAAAAAAAAAACGATTTCAATGAAAGCAGTGCAATTGAATGAAACTCAAATTTTTCTGAGTCATTTCATATTGCATTAATATTTTCTCTTTTTGAAACAAGAATTCATTTTTTCCAATGTTGTATCAACAATAGCATCATTGTAAAAAATAGATGTCGACATGATACTTTTCGTTAAAAGAATAACAATAACTATCGTTAACATATTCTTTTCATACAGATTGAGCCATTCATAATATGCCTACTCATTTTCTTAGCAAAAATAATTTCATGCGTGGGGTATAATCAAGATAGATTGACGTACAGAAGACAAACTACTGAGCTTACCTGTTTATATATAAAAAAAAAAAAGAAAAAAAGGCTCTCATTTACTATTCAATCTTACTTCTACCAAACATCGTAATATTTACATCAAAATATGAAACGTTGGTATCAATGTTTATGTATACTATTCGTTTTTATCTTTTATTTTCGATTTACTATGGTAGGTTTCAGTATATGATTTGATTGATAGTTTATTTTTGTAATCCAGGCTTATCCTTCATCAAATATACAAGAACAACGCAGTTTTCTTCTTTGTCATTTATCTCCAGTATCATGCAAGCGTAGTTTGTCTAATACAGACGAAACTGAAAATTTATTGACAATGAATATTAATGATGGTCTTCAAAAGTGTTTTGCGATAAACAGACCTTTATGGTTTTGTTTCGACGAATTATTATTTTATAGACAGCAATACAAAAAAAAATCAATAAAATAAATTTGTCATTCGTTTGATTTTATTCCTTTTTTTTTAAGCTTTAGTTTTTCTTACCATAAAAGGCATAAATAAAAAATAAAAATATTTATGTCTGAATCAATTTCAATAAAATCGAATGTAAGAAAAGAAGAAATGTCGATAAAATTTTGATTTTTAATAAAATAAAGCGAGAATGATCAGATTAATGACTTTAATTAGGAACTCTTCGAAAGTTTATCAGAGTGACAAGTTAAATGTAAAACAAATTGTATTGTCAATGGATAAATCGATAATCGAAGGATGAAAATGTATTATATTAATTGGTAGTATTGTGTCTGTAGATAGTTTAGATGAATAGTGAAAGAATTATAGTGAGAAAACTTTTATTATGAGATGGTCGGGTATATGTCAAAAGAGAAATTAATACTTCAGTTTTTCCTATGGGAAAAATTAAAATATCTTTTATGTCTAATAGAATCAATAGAAGATCAGAATGAAATAAAAATAACAAAGTAGACACAACAAATACTACATCTAAAATATTGCCATATAAGATAATATCTATTCAATCAGAATCAAACGATATGGATAACTATCAATTATATACAACAATATGTATAATCTTCTCATGGTTTCAAGCACTCGATCTGTTGGATTTATCCAACTGTAAGTTTCGTAATTTACGCGATATCGAGTCAACAACATTACCAACAATATAATTCATTCAAGCATGCAAAGCGTATGTAAATACAGAATTAATTACTCCTATTGAAACATGTAACATTAATGAAACCTATTCAATAAAGAAATGTCGTTGTCAAACAACAAAATACCGTGTGGTACCAAATGTTATTCATCAAAAATGAAACTATATTCACATATCTAGTATAAATCTCATATTTTGACACATAAAAATAATAAGGTTTATACTATGTGTTCAAGAATATTTAAAACTAACCTATAGGAAAAACTGATATTTTAATTTATCCTCCGTCAAACATCTCAACTGATTGTGAACTTTTCACTTCATCTTTTGACTATTAGTGAATCTCAATGAGAGATTGAGAAAAGTCTTAAAACGTTCGTCCTTATATGCTTGTTCGTTCTCGAAATATTATTAATCTTATAACGACAAAAAAGAAAGGCATTTCTTTTTTATTTTATTTTCAAATTACCATTTCTCTGTGATCTTAGCAGTACTATTTTAATCTTAATTTAAATATGTTATTGAAATAGTGCTCTGAAAAAAAGCATCGCTTATTTATTTCGAAATGGTTCCACTTCTCTGTTCCAAATATATTCAATACATATGATATACAAATGAATAACGAAAGATTCATCCCGAAAATTGTCTATATTATCAAGGTTTACTTCTCTTTCGATTTATCTGTACCCAATGAAGAGAAGTATTGAGTTCCTGGTCTGATCTACTTTTTATAGCGTTAGAAAATATTTTTTTTTCATCATTGCTATAAGGTTCAGGACATTCATTTCAACTGTCTCAAACAACGGCTTTACACAATATCATGTATATCATTTTCATAAAAAACCAATGCATAGCATTAAGATCATATTTTCATCACATAGTGTCCTATTGACACCGATTTTTTGACTCAAACAGCTTACTTTAATTACTCCCATTTCGTCATTGTCAAGATCATGCTCATGTATAGTAATATTATATGAAGCATTCTATTTCATTAAAAAAATTCTGAATACAAGTTTACCAATTCACGTTACATACAAAGTAGGCGTATGAAGAAGGTGCGCACACAAACATAATAATTATATTTACTATGCATGGTGTAACATAAAACTTTCTTTCCGATAAGATAGTTCATTAGTAAAACAAAAAAAGTTAAAATTTTATAGATATAGAGGATATGCCAAAAGTCACGTAGTGCACAAAAAAATTGAATATCTCCGCCATTTCTTGACTAAATGAACTGATGATTTTACTGGTGATATAGGGATATTCAGAGTTCCTATTCACGAAGAAATTGTTGGAAAGAACCATTTTGAATTATCATAATTATCTTCAACAAAAACAGATCTATCCTCTTATAGGATGTCAAAGAAACACTTCGTAACACACTCAACAGACGATGGCAGATAAACAACACATTCAAGGTCGATAGAAAAACTAACATGAAACAAGTGTATTAAGAGAGCGAGTTCGAAATATACCCGGTTGAGCAGGAAAGAAAACGATGTGAATGTGGATTTAGGTGTGCATGAGTACCTTGTCTTTACATCCACATCCATCTAATAGCAAAAATGTTTCGTTCCAACTTTTTTTCGAATGGATATGAACGATGAACACACTTTTATCATCAGTAAAAACCAATCAATCCATTTTGTCAAGCTATGGCAAAGAAGCTCTTTTCTTTTTTTTGTATGGTAATAGGAATTTGGATCACCTTGTATTTTTTTAACAAGAAACTCACTAGAGATAATTTTCGCTGTCCTTAAAAGTCTACAAGCTGTTGTTGAAATACGCAGTGAGTGTCATCATTGAAACTTTGATCAATTTCTCATTAGGTATATAGAGTAAAATCAAATGCGTTCTATCATACATAATATTTACCAATGAAACAAATGACAGACGAATATGCGACGATGTGTATTTTACCTAGATAACTTAACAGTAACACCATGTCAATCATCGAGCGGCATGTCAGTGACATCTTTCATAAACACTTTTATTCTCTTCCTGACTTTTTTAATTGATTATTTTCTATATTTGAATCTTTATTACTATGCAGTAATGTGACGTTTCATTGCTGTAAGTAACTTCTTCAGATAAAAATTACCATAAACACTTACAATGCATAAATTAAATTATACATTTTACAATAGAATAAGTAAACAAAAACACCCGATAGATTTTTTTCTTTTAGCTTTAACAATGATATGTTACAAGATGGTAGCAGTAATATTCTTGATTGATAAATCACTTCCATATCATTATTAAATTTAATAACAAAGCACAACAATTGTCTGTTTTGTTTGTTTACACTTATTCCATTGTAAAATGTTTAATTTATTTTATGTATTGTAAATGTGTATTATATTTTTTATCTCAGGAAGTTACTTAATTACAGCAACTAAACGTCAAATTACTGAGTAGTAATAAAAATTAAAATATATTAAGTGATCAATCAAATCTTAAAGAAGAAAGATTTGTCTATAAATTCATCAACTTTCCTCATAGGTGCAATGGATTTTTCGTAGGGCGCATGCCATATCATCGAATGGATCTAAACAAAATCCATCCATCGGTGTTAGAAATACAAGGGAGAAACGACAGACTTGAAGTACATCAAAATACTTTGAAATTATATGAGAGTACTTTGAAAAGCACTTTAAAATTACAAAAGAGTACTTTAAAATTACAGAAAAGTACTTTAAAGTAGCTCGAAGTGCGTTTGAGTAGTGTAAATTATCTGGAAGTACAAAGTCTGTCGCGTCTTCCTTGAAAAAATAATTCAAAAAAGTTAATTAGGGTGTCATATTAACCAAAGTAAATTAAGTTACTGGAAAAAAAGAGTGAAATACAGTCCAATCTCAGCAAACAAATTCCACAAAACTTTAGAAAATAGTCCAATTAGAAACGGTAGATAGGATCATCAATATTTATCTATTATACAATATTAGAAGTCTCTAGAGACATGTTGAAGATACTTTTTTGATTCCTTATAACAACTACTTGGGAAAGTGAGTAAAACGGTGGTCGAAATTATGATCGTTTCCACTGAGACTTAACCAATGTTCGTAAGGGTATCGTTAATTATCCTATTTCTTCGTTTCAGAATGCATTCTAAATGATCATCGAAGCGGCATTCTTTTTTCGCCATTTTTAAATCGTTAATGAAGCGTTCTATACAACTTGAGATCTATTGATAACATTAAAATGTGTTTTTTTTTTCAAGGTCGACTTAACTATTGTATAATTCAGTTTAGCTAAACATGCAAGTTATTATGATATATATATATGAACGATTTTAGAAAAAAATAAATAAAGACAACGCCAGTTTTTCTCCATAACGTTAACTATATATCTTGAACGAGGCGTTCTAACTGAATATGAACGCTATTTTAATTCTTTTAGTACCATTGAGACCTACGTATAACCGAAATATGAAGTCGAAAATTCAGAATCAATTGAGATACTATCTCTCTTAAGTATTATTTCTTATCATCAAATGTTCAAACTTTACAAAACTAATCAATTTACAGAATAAAAGTTCTTTTCCGAAATCTTGTATTATCTAGGCCCATTGAGAATAATTCTGGAGCTTTATATTCGATTGCGATACAAAATTTTGGTGAAAGTGTTAGAAAAGAAAAGATGATACTGCTCAGATAAATATATAGAAATGTTTATTTGACATAGAATATTCTTTTGAAAAACTATTCGATAATATAATTGAATTGTCAGTAATTTTCTACATTCCATGGAAAATATCTTAAGTCATGCTTGAAGTCTATCTTTCAAATCTGCAATAAAACTCTTAATTTTTACATATCATTCACATAGTAAATATCATCATTTTATTATTTTAATACGCTATAGAAAGTCGACAGAAAATGTTGCTAACTTCATATAATAGCAACTTAGTTAAGATTAAACAATAAGCTTGTAAAAACATTTACTTATTTAAGCTTTTAAATGTCAATAACAGTACAAAAACCAAGTCACTTGAATTATTGAAATACAGTATGATAATATTTCGACAACACCATCTTATTATTGTTAGATTTTGAAATTCTACAATATTGAATATAAACTACCAAACATTCACATGATATTCGACATGTTCTATTTTTATTTTCATTATCGTACGTCAATTAATCGTTTTTGATGACATAAATTTCAAGTCGCTACTTTCTTCCGTTCTTATCAGTGTCCGACATGGGTCAAATTTTCGTGACCCGATCATATCCGAGCTCAACAAAACCGGACCAAACCCGACCCTATCCGTGGTCGAAGATATTTTTTGTCAAGAAAAACGAGATTGTTTTTACAGGTTAACAATCTTTTCAGTGTATCTATATAACCTCTCTCAATATTCGAAACAAAGAAGCCATTATCTCACCTGAAATTGTCGTTTGTCTTATAAAAGATTCGAAATCGGTCAATTACTAGTGACCAGACCCGAGGTAAACTATATTTTTCGTGATCCGACACGACCCGAGTTGGACACTGGTTCTTATATTATTAACAATTACATAGGATCAATCTATTTCTGAAGTACTCCGTAGAAATTATGTTAAAAGCACACATTGACAGTCTTTCTTAATAAAGTTTAAAATTATCCTTTCTTTGGGATTTGACTAATAAACATGCAACGCGTATTCATATGGGTCAGTTTATTTTCATAAAGGAACAGATAATCGTGATTGTATTGATCTAAACTAACATTTTCGTATAAAAAATTGATCTTACAGACAAACATCCTATTAATTCTATTTTTCCATTCAACCGAAATTGACAAAAAAAATTCATTTTTCTTTTTTTATTATCAATGTTTCCATAGGAATCGTTGTTTAGTAGCATGAAGAAGTTCTTTTCTTTTTTTTTCTTTGCTTTCTTCATATTCTTCTGTTATGGAAGTAAAAGAGTATGTTAGTAAAACTAACTCATATATATCTATTTTCGATAAATCTACGTAGACATTTGTGATGAAGATAAGAAATTAATCGATAAAAATACAATGAACAATACAAATATAGAAATTTGTTCTATTAGGTTGAATAATAACAATACATTACATATATCATATATTATTTGGCATATAAGTGGTTTTTTATGTACAATCATTGGTACACCTGGTCATGTATTTCAAATTTTAATTATGTCAAATAAAACCAATCGTAAAGAATCAACATCATTATATCATACAGCTATTGCTATATGCGAATTAATATTTCTTTTTGGTTTGTAAAAGTTTTGATATCTTCATACAGACTAGCATGTAATTTGAATTAGCATTAATATTGATATAATATGTTTTTATTCATCGAATATAGAAATGTCAGACAAAAGATTCGAGTTATTGATGATTTATCATATAGTTCGAATATATAGAATATGGAAATCGACTAAATAGAAATTCATTTCTGTTGATTTCGTTTCTATTAATAGGAAAAAAAAAGCTAATTTATACAAAAGTGTGTCAACTCACACTTCAGTATGTGTTTCGAATAAAATATACATTAATTTACTTATTAAACTAGATCCTCGATATAATGAAAAACTCAATATTGTTCTTTGTACTGCTACTCGGATTCTTTGTTTATATTGAGCATTTTTGCACGAAAATTATCCATTTATAATTCATGATGTGTAGATTAGCATAATTTTTCCTTTGTAAAACTCGAAGGACAAATTATTTACAAAATAGGAATGTTATAACTGATCAACTTTTTGATCAATAAAGTAATTGAGTTATCAGTATTAAGCATTTTAACTTGAATAATTTTTTTATCTTTGTAGGTAAATTTAATTTAGTTGAAATAATAATTAATTATTTTGATTTAGTTGACATGTTTGATAGAATAAATTATTATATATATATATATATATATACCTAGTGGAAAATCTTTTAACCAAGATCTTGACTAAGATACAAGGTACAAAAAAGAGAATAGATCCTAAGTACAGCTAAATCTTATACGATTGAAGTATAAAAATATGAACATATCTTGTCTAAGATCTTGACTTCATAATATCTTCTAAACATTAATTTGTCACTAGTTAGAACTAAATTATATCGCACGAGTGTCCATGAAAAGGATCATTTCGAAAGATTTTTTGCATTAAACATTAGTTTCTAACTTGACTTCTTGTATTTGTATCAGAAATCTGACATACTATTCAGTGTCAAATTTGACATCAAATAGATTATTTCAGATCTATTTAGAATCATTCATAGATCAATTGGAGTGATTCTTTTCCGACCCTGTATATTTTAGTCAAGATCTTACAAGCCTGTACTTAAGATCTTAATACAAAATGTTTCGCTAAGGATATATTTCATTATTCAGCTTCAATATATGTTTGAGAAAATAGATAACACTTCCTGTCATTATAATCACCTATATTTTATTTATAGATGAAATAACTATGCCAAATTGTTCTCTGTTCATTACTATTTCTATCAGCACATATATTGTTCTGTAGTTATGGTTGTTCTTTCTCATTATTATGTCGACGAACGAGAGAAGAGAAACGAAAGAGTAAAGAAATCAAGGAAGCAAAAGGCAAATAGAAGAGAAGATACAACCATTGTTTTCTTATAAGTTAAAGGTAATGAAAAATACTTCTTGCAAGTCTCAAGTCTTGAATAATGTTGAAAATTAGATTGATTATTAACTATAATCAAACTGATTCTAAATAAGGTTCAAAATTATAACTATAGTCGAAAAAGATAATTAGAGTCGATAGTTATAATAATTTCAACATTCAATAGGTTTACTCTATTATGAAACTTTCAAAGACATAATTTTTATTTGAAATCGTATATCCTTGATAAATATATATTCGATGAAAATAGTTAAAATTTCCGCATTTTATTTCTAACTGTTAACATAGAAAAAATCCTTAATGTTATACAGTAAAAAATATATCGTTTCATTCACAATTAACGGATAAATACAAGAAAGCCGAGTAACTTGCAAATGAATATATGAAAAAACACTCAGAGAATTATCTAAGCTTTTAACAGAAAGAACACTGAATATATATATATATATGTATATTAATTTATTCTATCCAACATTTTAATTAAATCCAAAAATAATTACTATTTCAACTTAATTAAATTTACTAAAACCAATGAAAAAATTAATTCAGTTAACATGATTGATAGTTATAATCCAAGTTTTAAGTGTGTATTAACCTTTTATCGGTTTTCTCAACTGTCAAATTTTTGAAAAAAAAACATTTTCAACTCTTATACTCCATTGAATTAAGAGTCTACAGAGAGTATTAGATAGTTTTCTGTACATTTAGAGTGACTGGTTAACAACTAATCATGAAGTAAAGTAAAATTTATATATGATATAAATAGAATATAGTGACAGAAGTGAGCGATTGATCGACACAATGATAATTCTTTTTGAAAGTTATGAAATGCAAAACATAAATATATCTTATCTATCAAATTATCTTTTGAATCGAAATGTATAGAATACAAGAAGAATGATTGCATGCAGCCAACACCTAATATTCATCACAATAGAAGAATTTTTGAGAAGATAAAGATTTTTCTATTTTAATATCATAGAACGATAAATTGCTCTAATAGGCATTTTTTCGTTATGGTGTGCTGATATGTCCATAATGAAAATTGATCCTCGAGAAATATTATCCTGTGGCATGTTCTATAGTATTCTAATTGGCCCCACAATATTATCAAATCTATATTTAGCATCCATATCTATCGATCAAAGTTTCATGATACTTAGTCCTGCTCATCATCGTTTACTTATTACTCGATGTCATGTTCTCATACGTATATTTTTAATTTTTATAATAGTCATATTATTTATGATTCCACATCATTTTTATTTTTATTATAATAAAAAAACAACAATATTCATCTGTGAGTTTCATACATTTATTGATCATTGGAAAATTCGTGCGTGGCCATTTTTACATGCTATATTATTTGTTTCACTGCCGTCAATAATAACATGTATATCATCAGTAATTTTATTACACAATCGTTGTAATCAAAAAAGAATAAATAAAAATAAATTAAGTGAAAATGCACGTCGTATGAAAAGAAATTCTATATTAGTATTATTTATTTCAATAGCTACTTTATTTTCTATATTACCAACTGTCATATTAGAAGCTTTTATCGTACATGATCGTCTTTTTAATCATTATATATTTTGTTCAATAAGATGGAAAATATATAGAATTTTACTTAATTGGTTTTTGTCACTTTCAGCTTTGAATTATTCATCTAAGTTTTATATACGTCTCATCATATCGAAAATATTCCGGCGAGATTTTATCAAATTAATTTATTCTATTTCTCTACATAAACAAAAGAATACTGAACAAAATTCAGCTCCAGTCGATCTACCAATTACACCAAGAAATACTGAAACATAATTATGAAATATTAAAAAAAAATATAAAAATATCTTATTATATTTTATATTAGATGACAGAAAGACATTTTCATTTATTTAATCAAAGAATAAGTGATTTTCCTTTTAGTTCGTCCTATGAAACAATGTATCAAGGATAACAAACGGATTTCTGATGATTTCGATCGGTGCAATTCATTTTGTTATGTTTTAATGATTTACTTTCTGCATGTTTAGGATTTCTTACGATAACATAGATGGGAATATCTAGAAGTTTCTTAAAATATATAAACACTGGCAAATATTTCCTATTAGCTTCAATTTGTAGTAACATTTTTTTGAATATTATAATGGGACACTAGATTTCAAACAAAGAATGATGTTGATTTTCAAAATTCGTTATTGTACATACAGTAGCTGATAAAAATCTTCCGCCTTAAGCGAACTTTACCAAATTAACGGATTAAATGAAAACATTTTTATTGTATAAAAACTCATAATACACTCTAGTCATTAACGTAGTATTTTTGACTCTGATTATCATCAATTTCAAAAATTCGATTATTCATAATATGTATACAAGTTTGATGGTCAACTTCGGTAGTAGAGTTTTTCTTTCGCAATTTCATTTTGAGGAATTACCAAAGACTTTCGATGGATTCAAAATCGAGTGACATTAACCACTTATTAATTTTGTGAATCCTACTATTCATTCTTTAATTGATTGCTAGTTTTAACGTCTGTTTAAACTCGTAGTATTTTCGCAGTTTCTATGAAACTGAGTCGTTGTCAAACTGTTTTCTAGCTGTTGGCAACATACCACACTTGTAAATGCTATATATCAATTTCTTGCCTGAAACAGATGACACGACCTATACTTGAATTTGAGAAACAATCTCAAACATTGACCTGTACACGATACTTGACAGTTCGCACGACCCTTTTCTTCCTCATACGTTTCCAAGTAGTTTTTTTATGGAATTTAGACTAATGACAATCTTGTCAACAAAGACTACTTGGCCCTAGTACGTAGTCATGTCACCTTACGCTGATTTGAAACGATTCTCTCGATAGGTTTTCGTGAGCAATGGTTTCAACATGGGTTGATTGTATATCGCGCCTATTTCCTTGAGTCACCATCACACTGTCCTGTCATTGACCACGACCCTTTTTCAATTCAGTTCGCTTACAATGTTTCGGTTGCTGACGAATATCTGTTGTTCGATGAGTGAAATAATCTGTTGATTCTTTTGCAGGCTAGTCGCAAGTAGTCGACTGGATCGAGTCAAATAGTTCAAGTCTTTTAACTGCTTCCATTGTCTGACCCAATATTTCACCATTATTATATCACGATGGCATGCTTTTGCCACAGCCACATGACTGAACTTCAAACTCAACAAATGCTGAGATAAAAATATAATTTCATGTCGTTGGTGCATGAATAGAGTCATCTGTAAGAGGCATAATAGAGCTAATGACTAACAGCCATGCTGAAGGAGTGAATAATGATTCTGATCAGAATATGACTAAAGCTACTTATTTATATTAGTTTTATGGACGGTTCTACCACAGATAGACTTTCATTTACTACCTTATCTACGTGATGATTTGTTTTTTTTTTATAATTAAAGTATAAACATGAACAACAATTATATTCATCGACACACAGAAAAGTATATGAATATTAATTAAATATTCTATTGAATTANTTCCGAAAAAACTAAAAAGCACATATTCGGAATCAGCATCGCGAGCTCTATCAGATGATGTAAAAAAACTTGAAAAATAAAAAGTGCTCCTTTTTTGCCCTTGGTGCACCTTACATAATTCTCATCAGTGAATTTCTCTACAATATTTGAAAGAAAAAACAAACTTGTATTTCTGGTTTATTTATACAGAAAAATAACTTTGATTAGATACTCTTCAATTTAGTCGATTATTATTATTGCAATCAAGATCTTCATTATTTATTCTGTCAATATTTGATATATATTGTAACAAAATACTGATCATGAATGAAATATAATTATTTAATATAAGAGAGAATCCTATTTTGCTGTACGATTCGTACAAGAAAAAAAATGAAAATAGCCCAAAATCATTTTTAAAGAAGTTTATTTTATAATACTTTATGTTCATGTTACACAACAAAAGTATTTCAACACTTTACTAAATATTAACTGAAATACACAAGCAAAAACAACTATGTACAAGAAAAAATCTGTCATATATAAAATCATTTGCTGCATTCTGCTCAAGTTAAATTATACTTCAGAGGAATATTTTTGAGCAAATTTGATTAGAAATATCGACAGAATAAAATTTCATTCTCAACGAAGTATAAAGACTTTCTTTTTCTTTCAGAACATTCTTTTATTTTATCTTCGAAACAATATTAATAAGAGACATTTTTTTGTTACTGAAATAGACTTTTCGTTTTAATTCTTTCTTTATATGGTATGTTAGGATCAAGTTATTGCCACTCTACACAAAAAATATGCCAGTATCTGCTAGATAATGTAGGCGTCTATCGAAGGAATTAAGAAATTATGCATTGCAACAAAATGCTGAAAGTACTACGAATTGGATTACTGACATCCTTAATCTTGTTTGTTCTTTATTCCATTTAAAAAAAAAATATTCTCCTTTTCATTGACACGTCGTGAAAATAATTAACGTTCTCTTGTTATGCATCTTGCATAATTAACTAACTCTGCAAGGCAAAGAACTGAAGTTGAGCATTTAAATTATTTTTTGTCTCATCAAATATAACTATATGTAACTTTATTTTATTATGATCATCTATCAATCTCATCTTGTTACTCTATATGCATTATCTCGCATCCGTAATCCTAACGATTATCTCATAACTTTATCATCGAATGTCAAGTGGCTCGTATCAAAGTTTTCTTCATATTTATATCTGTTGTTTTGCTTGATAGTCAAATAAAACGATATTGGATTCTGTTTCGACAAACTTCAATTAAATAAATTTTTCTTTCATGTGACATTAAGATGTTTGTTGTAAAATATTTAGAAGTTTTGATTTTGAATTCTTGAATAATTTAATTAGAAAATTTCTTTTTACTCTTCTTCTCTTTCAAATACGTTTCAATTCAAGAATTACGAAATGAAATCTATCATTCGAACAAAAACAATTTTATATACAAACAAAAGAACTGTAGATTAATAACGAAAGTTAGGTACGAAACGTAATGGCAAAGTTGAAGATGGAAGATGAAATTGATGTTTATTCTCTTCATTGCTGTCATCATGTTCGTCTTCAATTGAATCAATTTGTCGTGATAATATGTCATTACTATCAAAATCATATGTTGAATCTTCATCAGATTGAACTGTAGCTTGTGAACTAACTGATGATGGATTTCCATTGCTCGATAAATTTCCTAATGTTCTATGATTTGATAAATCATCTTCTAGAAATTTTGTACATTTTTTCTTTCGTCGACAATGTTTACACCATTGATTAAGACCTTCTAAACCATATCTAGCACGGCATTTCTTTAGATTTAAACATTCTAAATAATAATAAAAACTATTTTCATTATCCTTTTACTTAATGCTTGAGATATGCAATAAGAAAGTAGTTTATATATTAGAACAAGATTTTGCGTTACTGAGAGTTCCCCGCCCAGCTTCATCAACACTCCAAGAATTTCGAGCATCAAAACATAACCTACCGAATTTTTAGCTCCTCCCAAATGTGAACAACTTTGTATTAGAACGAGCCGTTATTGATATATAGGGTTTTTGATCGTATACCGGCGTGACCCAGCGCGAGTGATCTTCATTTTTTTCCAATATAACACATATTTCTCGTCTATGATAAAAGGAAATTCTTTGAGACTTTCTTAGAAAATACCGACCGTTACGAAATTTTTCATTGAAGTGAAACTGCGAGTTTAGCATATTTACTATCAAACGAACCAAGATATCAATAAAATTTCTATATAAAACTTCTTCAATTTTTAATAAGCTTTCAGAATACTAAGTCATTTCTTAACAAGCATAACTGTATCAAATAACTAACTAAAAATAGTGTTCATTACGGAACTTCATCCTTTTTTCAATAATCGCAGCTTGGGTCAGGATGAAAGCAAATAAGTCAAAAGCAACCAGATATTGGTTACTACCACTGGATTCTGCGTGCAATGGTGTATTTTTCATTACAACTCAATGGAGATCATTTTTCAGCTGTTTTAATTACCTAAATACACCATTTTATTCAGAATTCAATACTAGTTCCAAAAATGTGCATATTTATGAACAAAGAACAATGCAAAACACTGAATAGTTTAAAAACGTCACAAAATTTGGATACCAAATCCATTACGTACTTTCATCCCAAATAGAAATAGTTTTTCAACGTATTATCGTGGCTCGTAGAAATCTAGTATTTCTACGAAGAGTCGTATTTTGAAAGATTACTTCGTATCCAATCGATTAATAAGTAATTGAAAATTTTTTTTTCTGCTGATAAATCCTTGTTTGACGATGTATTTCACTACCATCCCTCTATACAAATTTTTGACTTATCCATTTTAAGAAATTTTTCATATGTCTAAACCACTCAATGCTACTCAAGAATAGAAACGCTTCCATTTCAAATATCATTGATTATTCTTTTTTCAATCGCAAACTCAACTTTCTTTCCTTTTAAGTTTTACATCTACGAATAACCGATGGTTAATCATGCTAATATCAACAGCGTCTATCATGGTCTCTGCTTCTATAATTTCAACACATCTTTTAGATCATTCTTCACAAAATAATTAATCGGACATGAATTGATTTACCATTGTCAAGTTGTTTCGAAGTGTTTGTTGAGATTTTTGATGGACTATTATCATGATCTTGAGAAGAAGGTTTTTGTACTCGATCTATTTGTCGTTTTTTCTTCAGTCCATAATTATCACGTGCTGACCAATTTGGATACATTTGCAAATGACGATTACGTTCTTCTTTTGCTAATTCTGTATAAATAAAAAGAATCTCTTTTTTTTTGTTGAAAAATATTATGTTTAAATTTTCTTTTTTGTTGTACCATAATATCGATCTTGTTCTGATCGAGATAATTCTTTCCATTTTTGACCAAGAATTTTATTTATTGCTGATGATTCTTTTAATGCACATTCTTCTATAATACGTGCACGTTGTTCTTTCATATAAATCATAAAAGCATTTAAAGGTTTTTTTATATGAGGTTTTTTTGAACGTTTTGTATTAAGTATTGCATTTAAACTAAATTAAAATAAATAAGAAATATATGAGAAAAAAAGAATTTTCTTTTCTTTTTACTTTTTATGTGGTCCATCATTAACAGATGATGAATGTTGTGGATTAGACAAACTTGAAGAATGAACACCAGATGTTGGCATTGGAATACCAAATGGATTGAAAAGACTCGATTGAAATGATGGATTTATCATTCCAGGAGGATATAAAGGAAAAAATGGCATACCTAAAAATAATCGATGATCTAAATTTTAGTCAATTCAATTTGTTTTCCAAGTTAAAATCAATCGAATATTCTGATTTGTTTAAATTACAGATCCGTTTTATGGAAACTGATCGAAAATCTTAGTCTTTCTAATAATCATATATATTTCATATAGAAAATATATGCTGGTTAAAGTTTATTGTCTAAATTATATTCAATCGATTGAAATAACATACCAGGAAACGGAGATACAGCACCATATGGATTATTTGTTTGTCCATTTATTGATATTCTATCCTGAATGAAAGAAAATTTTATTTGAAAAAAATAGAACTAAAACAAAATTCATTTGTTTACTGTCGATGAATTCATTTGTGCTGTAGCAGCCATAAAATAAGGATGAAAATATGGATAAAGAAAAGGTGATGCATATAAACCATATATATCATTATTCAATGAATCATTTTTATTTGGACTAGTCTAAGAAAAGAAGATAATCTAGTAAATAAGTCATGTAATAAAACTCTTACAGGTTCTTCAACAACTGGTGAAAGTCGATCTTCAATATCAAACTTTCTATAATCTGGTTCATCGGCTAATTTATTATTTTGTATTGTTGATACTGAAAAGATTTTAATTTCATCAAGATCATCTTCAGTTTTTATCTTTATTTCATTTGAAATCTGAATATCTTTGCATTGAATTGTTAGAGATGCCATTTATAGACAAATTGATGTTTTGTTTTTCTTTTACTTCAAGTTGATCATTGACCAGGTAGTGGGTGGAGCAATATTTGTAAACCGTTAATATTCTTCTGTGCGGGAGAATGTTTGAACTGACCTTCGAATAGAAGAAGAAAAGAAAAGAAAAGAAACAAGAATTTCGTCGTCCATTCATTTGAGAAAGAACAATGACGTGGCCTCAATTTTCTCATACCGCGACTGGTCAAGGCTGACGCATAGAGAAAGAGACGAAAAAAAATAAAAAATAAAAGCACGAACGCCAAATTGCCTGTCAAACGAAAATAACACATGGATTAATGAATGATGGCACAGACGATAATATTCGAGGAGTTAGGAAGAACAAGAGGGAAATAAAATTCATAGAATAATGATTTAATCTCTGAAATTGATAGTAGCGCTCAAAATTAATCGTATACTTTATAGAAAAATATACAGTTTAAGTTTACCATACACAAAGAAACGAACTTGCTCATAATGTACAGAAATTTATAAATAAAACACTTTTGAAATGAATTGTCTTGTACGAAATTACAAAATGCGCAATTTATTTATTATTTTTTTTGTATGAAGTGTACAAACAATTATGAGTACAGTACCGCTTTGGTGTATATTGAATACAAATGGATGTTGTCGACAATAAAGAAATATATGTGTCTCTGATTATTGAAATCGTGATTTCTGCATAAAATTGCCAGCAAAAAAAATGAAATTGCTTTTTATATTTATTAAACAATTATTTCGATGTTAGTATCTATATTAATCATTAATAAATTCTCTTTATTTTAATAAATTTGTCATAATAAATGTTGATTTATTAAGAATTAGTACAAATAAAGGGATTTCGTCAATCAATAAAACGTAGGCACACACATTGTACATGCTGCATGTCAAAACTTATTTACATAGCTATTAACGAAATACGAAATAATGTAGATGTTTGATGTAGTAATACAAAAAAAAAAAACGATGTTTTCTTATGAATAATGTATTAGATGAAAAAAAAAATCTTTGCAATGATTTTACTAACAAGAGAACATCTACAAATGTGAGTCTCACTTTTCAATCGGCTTTATGCAAGTTTGTAGAGTTCAATAAGTTGATTACGATGATATAATGTGTTGTTCTTCATAAGCTATTTTGGAGGAGTTAAGATTGATCTCAACTACAAAAACATCATTGTAAGATGTTAGTTTGGTCGGCATTCAAAATATTACTGTTGGATGCGTTTTAATTGTCTGTACACATCCAGACTGTCAATATAATGATTATAATTCCTTGGAAATACTATTTTAAAAAACATAACAATTAAAGGCCTTGTCAGATGTCTCATCCTAAATAGTCTGTATTCTATTTAGTCGTTTTCTCACGTTTTTATGAAACATCACAATAAATAAGACAGATAATTCAAACATGATCAACGTTTATTTTTAATATGCATTCTAAACAAATGAACATACAAATTGAATTAGATGAATTTTGAAAAAAAATTGTAGTTCAATTTCATATATCCAAATTATTAATGATATTGAAGTATTCAAACTAAAGACGTTGTTAGAACTTCAATTTATGTTGATGTGTACAATCAATTAAGACGTATCCAATAATAAAATTTCGAATACTAAAAATTAAATTAACATAAAAATTAAGATTTTCGAAATAACATCTTACTGGTATTTTTCTGAAGTTAAGATCGATCAAATTTCTCCAACATAATCTATGAGAACGAACGCATCATGTCATGGTGATTAGCTCATTGAATTTTTACAAATCCACATAAAGTCAATTGAAAATGGAGACTCACATTTGAATAACTTCTCTCGTAAGATTTAATATAATCTAGTGATTTATAATCAACTGTTTTCGAAACAAAGAAACAGCGAATCATACTTTTGGCACTTTTACATTACTAAATCTATCTAATTATAGATAATTAGAAAGTTAAAAACATCACGTGTCAAATAACAAACAAGGCCTTGTATTACTAATAGTTTACTTTATGACGACGTTACTTTTCTTTTTTGTTTTGAATAACAAGATTTCGTATGGGTAATAAGATAATTTACGAAGGAAAACTACGTATTCAATTTTATTTTGTATTGAGATGACGGAGGCAATCAAGCGTAATCGTAATTATATGTATATATATATATACGAAACGTTTCTTGCTTTTTATCTATTCATTACTCGTTTTTACATATAAACACATTCTTCTACTCGAAAATTAAATATGGACGCTCTCAAAGCTGGTGCACATAAAGTATTCAATCAAATATTTTTATAATATATTTCAATTAAATAAATTTTATTCATAGGTACAAGAAGCAGTTCAAGGCAAAAAGGCCGAAGACAAAATTGATAAAGCATCGGATCCATCAAAAGCACCATCGGAACGTGTGGATGCTGCTCATGATGCAGCTAAAGCAGCAGCCAAAGAAAGTGAACATGCATGCAAAGCCGATTGCAAATCACATGAATATAAACATTAAATCAAATTAAATTTTTTTATATAAATGTTTCATAGGATTGTATTCAAGCTGTTATTATTTTTTTCATTTTTTCTTATTTGTATTTAATGCTCAATAAAAATACTAGAAAAAAAAAACAAATTTTCTTAATATATAACAATATAAGGACTTTGTATGTGCTCTAAGGACATTTATTCTATCATAATATTTAACAGTCAGCAATATACACCATGGCAAAAAAAGTATAGATTATAACAAAAACAACTTCCTAATCAGGCATTCTTTTTTTATGTCGTAATGCATTGAGTAGAAAAAAAGAGGCACACATCCAAGCCACGTGACGTATGCATACGAAAAGTACGGAATTTTGTATTCAATGACCTCTGTTTTTTTTTTCTTTCTGTATATTGACTGTAAAAGAAAAAGATGGAATGAGAGAAAGAAAAAGATGGAATGAGAGAAAGAAAAAGGGAATTGAGTCTGTTTTTTGCAGACCATAAATACACTGAATTCATTCATTTGTTCTCATTTATTTCCATATACAAAACTACTCTCTACAACAATTCTTACTATGTATGTATTATAAAACATAAAGATATTTTGTCTTATAGATTATAGATTTTTCTTTATAAATTAGAAAAAATGGATGCTGCTAAAGCTGGTGTTGAAAAAGTAAAAGAAACTATTCAAGGCAAAAAGGCCGAAAACAAAGCACACAAAGCTAATGATCCAACTGAAAAACCAAGTGAACGTGCTGATGCTGCATTCGAATCTGGTAAAGCTAGAATGAAGGAACAAGAACATGCTTGTAAAGCTGAATGCCACAAGGACAAGCATGTTTACCAGTAAATGAAGACTATTTAATAAAATTTGTTTTTGTTGTTTGTTCATTTGCTTATTGTCAGTTTTATTTATATTAATTCCAGCACATATGTTCATTTAGTTTGTATCTAACTGATCAGAATAAACTTTTTCGAATGATTTTTCTTTGTGGAATTGTGCAGTGTATATTTTATTTCAAATAATAAAATATTTGAAGAGATATTTGACTAGACGTCTCTACGAAGCGATCATGCGAACATAAAACGCATTGTACCCTATGACTCAATTTACAACATATCAAATTACGGCATGCGATGCACGTTGCTATTCATTTTTTATACGTCATTCAAATTTATACTTCGTCACATTTGTTATTTATTCGGCGAAAGTGAATCATTACTACTTTTTCAGTATAAGGTCTTCTTTCTAAAAAAAGAAAAATCAATTTTCATCTTGATGAAAATTAAGATAAATGTATGGGAAGATAGTTCGAAGCCTAACCTTTCATAAATTGCGTAATTTTTCACTCGATGCCTTCTTTTTTTGCCAAAATTATCGATCACTTCCAGTCGTCACTTGCTTGAGAGAAAAAACTATTTTTGAAAAAAGTGAGAAAAGTTTTTCTTCTTTTTCTGTTTATACTGTTTTGATCGTGCAACTCAGAATTCTCTGTAAACTCACATTCTATACATTTAATTTTTTCTTTTTTTGTTTGAATGAATATGTCAAAATGCAGGGCAACAGAGTCCTTTATTTTAATTAAGCTTTGTTTTTATTATATATAAAAACAGTTATATAGATACACATTCAGTTTTGAAGAATTTCTTGAAACTTTCAAAATTTCACTGTTTTTTTTTTGTCACATAAACAGTAAAAATTTTAATAAAATGAATCTATGTTGTCTTGTAGCCTGACATGCTCTTGCAAAAGAAAAAAATTAAATATATAGAATGAGCCCGATCTGAGGAATTTGGTTTGCTAAATGAGTTGTTTTTGACTTTTGTTTGGTGAATATTTCTGTTAAACGTCATGATATAGAGCTGAAAGTTTTGCTGTAGTTTCTCTATTAGAACCTCAACATATCCTCCAAATTTTAGGCGCTTTGAATATACATGGCACGAAATCGATTTTTGAAAGGAAGGAAATGCCTTAATTCAAATTAGTAACATGTGGTTTTAAAGTTCAAAATGGTTGAATCTTCAGATCTAGCCGTTCGAAATCAGTTTAATTTCAATCAGAGTGCTTCAAAATAGCTCATTCTTAATCATCGATTGATTTCTCAACATGTTTTGGAACAAAGACTAGTCTTTAGAAATAATCTAGAAACACAATATAGACTTAAAAGAGTCGTTTACAGTAATCGCAAGAAGTGTCGCTATCAAGTAAAAAAAACTACATAAACTTCAATCCTGTTGCCTGAAATTGTGACTAGAAACAAAAAGCTCGGTGAACTCAGATCATAAACAACAACTTGAGATCGATAGTACTTTATGCAAAGGGTCAACGACGAAAACGCTGAATCCATGTTGAGATATCCTTGTCTGAAGAAAAAACCTACGTTAACCTTCTAGCTCCTCCACACGAAAACTGATCAAGTCCTTGCAACTAGAGTTCAAAATGCTCTATTTGTGGTCAGCCGATGAAACTAAAGGATTAAAGTTTAGGTACTTTTAATCTGATTCGAGAAACTTTTTTCAATAAGTGTATTTGTTGTTATACACGCAAACTTCAACAATTCATGAATGATTAAGGGCTGCGCAAATACGAGTACAAATTGTACTCGTATTTGCGCAGCCCTCATAGGAGTCAAAATACCGACTTACATATTTATTGAAAGCAGCTCTTAAAATACCGACTGTTAGCGTTCGTTTTATGCGCGAACACTAACCGTGTTCTTCACTCTCTAACTTTATTCTTAAAAAGCAAGGGTATATATATGAATAGTGACAACAAAGAAGAAAAGAAATATAAATGTTAATCGAGGTGAAAGAAAAGAAGTAATCGAAGTAAACGATAATATAGAAGATAACGGTGACCGGACAATTCGTTGCAGGACAATTCGTCGCGGACAATTCGTTGCGGACAATTCGTTGCACGGACAATTCGTCGCAGGACAATTCGTCGCAGGACAATGCGTCGCACGGACAATTCATTGCAAGACAATTCGTTGCAATGACATAAGCCAATCAAAAGTAGTATATATTTTTCAACAATGCAACAACTTATTCAATTAAATTTGAAACATGTNGATTTAGCAGCTTCTTCGACGATATATGATTGGGAAATAGCAATAAACTGTTACGATCTTGATTGAATCTCAATTAAAATTCTGTCGGCATCTTAAAATTTTATGGGTACACACTTTTTTCCGTTTTTCGCATTTTCCCCGGAAAAAATGGTGAACCTGTGCAGCGCCGTTGCTGCCTATGTCAGAAATCTAGCTCAAAAAGACTTGAGCTTTTCTCTAGCAAAAATTCAACACTATCTAATACAATCTTTTGAAATCCAGAAGAATTCAGCAGAAATTAACAAGCATCATAATAATCTGAAACCAATCAGGAAGATCTAAATCTTGATGGATCTTATTCTATCGTATAAACCGCAGAACTCATTCAGATACTCAAAAGTTCATCGGGGCCCACCAGGCTCTCAATCTCCGAGATTTCTTTTTTCTTTGTTTTCAAAAATTCTAGGGCCAATTTTTCGTCTGTTTACTCTGTTTCCATGTATTCTAATGGCTTCGGATGGAGTCCAATAGATCGTGGGATGTCTCAAGGTCCGCTTTTCCTTTGTAAAGTAGACTAGTCATAGTTGTATAAATAGCACATGGTGCTCACATTGATTCATCCAGAACATATTTTGAATTATGCATCCTTATTTTATGAATCTGGTTGATTTCCTTGATTTTGTGGCTATTCAGAACATTAATCTATCTTCATAAATGATAATGAGTTCTAATGGATTCTGGTGGATCCTGATGGATCCTAATGGATCCTGATGGATCCTAATGGATCCTAATGGATCCTAGTGGGTCCTGGTGGATCCTATGGATCCTGGCGGATCCTAATGGATCCCAGGATCCACCAGGATCCGCTTTTTCCCCCTTGGTTTTGAGAAAAAGATTAGACGTGACGTATAGTCATGACTAGAAAAATTACTAGTCTTTTTGCGCGCCCTTTGTTTGCCTGGAAAGTGTTGCGATTTAGTCTGCTATCTAGAAGTACTAGGTGAGGACTTCCTTCATCATACGAAAAGCAGAATCTTATTTATCGAGGTAGAAAGGCTAAGTTTAAGCTATTGTACCTACATTCACACACATCTTATAAGTCATTTGTTACGATATGATAACAAGATCGATATATGTCCAGCTTTGATCAAATGTCTGCAAGATGTTGTCAAATCTTCATAATAGAGAACTATAGCATGTTTATCAGTTAAGAACAGTTCGGACTCAACACCACCATATAATATTACATGTCATCCTATGCAGTGTCGTGGACGTACTTCCTTCTTTTGATTTAAGTACCATCACGCCTAGAATGACAACCAGTCTTTTTACCCGTCTTGCTCACTTCGGTATAAGTATTTAATGTTATCACCATTTTGTAAGAGCATGACTTATTAATTTGATTTTGATTTGTAAGAACAATAGTTTGCTTTGTGGTAGAAGTTTATTGAAAGTTTTCTTTTTTTTCTTACACGAATAACAGAAACAAATAGTACTGTTTGCTGTTCTATTTTTGGCCTTAATAGAGAAATTTTTACGTATTATCAAGTAAGAAAAATGTATATGAAGCGTTCTATAGATGATTTTCAGCTATTATCGAAGAGAATAATAATAAGAAGAAGAAGCAGTGAAAACAAGCTGCATGGATGCATGCACAGGAAGTTTTTTGGAACCTAATAGTTGTCAATATAAATGCTCAAAAAAGTGTGATTACTTTGCAAAAAACCAATGTTCTATATGTGAAAATTCGAAATTTTGTAATCATTGTTTTTTTAACTGACCAGTTAGTTCTGAAACTTTGTTCTATTCACTTCAATATAGTATCATTTATAAGGTTCGTTTTGATTACTTCTTATTTTCTCAAATAAAAACAGAATATTATCTATGAAATCCTACACATATATTTTTTCTTACTTGATCACCGGCAAAATTATTTTTATGATACCAACAATAATACTTGATAGTAGCATTTCTATTAATTATATATAATAAAAAACTTTTAAATAAACTTGTACTGCAAACAAAAAAACAGCTTTTTTGATCGAATCGACTTGAAAATATTATATTTTTTGGTCCTGGTCCCGGCAAGAAAAGAAATTTGGTCCCGCTCCCGGTCAAAGTACCAGTTCAAAATAACCAATTGGGTCTCATCCGAAAGAAAAAAAACTTTGGTGTCGATCTCGAACAAAAAAGAATTGGTCTCGGTCACAAAAAAAATTGATCCCGGTCCCGGTGAAAACAAAAAAAGTTGGTCCTGGGGTGTGGGTGTGTGTATCGATGTAGAGATGACACCTACACTCGGTGTGAGTCTTCTCTTCACCCACACTCACCCACAACATCAAATTAACAGATCATTATTATTTGTACTCTGAAAGTTTTGAACATTGGATCTAATTAGAAATCGTGAAAATGAGTCAAGTAGAGCTGGAAAAGATGAGCCAAGTTTGACTTGACTTCATTGACTTGATGAAAAAATTTTGGGATGTGGCTTGACTTGACAATTTTTTTAGTCGAGTTATATCTAGTAAAGTATTTTCGTTTATTTTATATCTTTTATACCATGAACTAGAATTCTAAGATCATAAAATCTGTCTTGCATCCGAAAGATGCAAGCAAATTTTATGTTCTGACTAATTTTTAACCAGGCTTCACTTGACGTGTGACTGGAAAAACCTTTAAATTGCCCAATCCTGGAGTTAAGATACAAATGCTTTGTGTTGAAATACTAATTTTTATTCTTTAAAATATATATATATATATATATAAGAGTCTAAAATAACTAAAAACTAAATGCTGCTTA